GTGCAGATGAATGAACTTATTGCTCCTAGCTGACAAATTGAAGGTTCCTAGTTATAAAGCAGAACCAGCAGCCACCAACATAGAAGGCCTTCCCCACAGATAGAGAAGAGGCAGAGCACTGAAACTCAGCCTGAGGGACCTCCCAGCTCTGGAGGGCCGGCGCAATTGACTCCTCAGGATCAGCAAAGCAAAGCCACATCACCAAACCAGCTCCAGAGCGACTTGCTTAGCAATATCTTGAGATCAGGACACTCTCTTCCAGTCCTAGAGACCCGGGTGAAGGGGATGCAGGGGTGTCCCTCAGCAGGAGGAGTCTATATTGTTGCCCCAAAAGAGGCCACTTCCCTCCTAATACTCCTGGGATTTTCCACTTCAGCAGGGGGAAGGTAACTCAGCACATAGCAAAACAATGAGGGCACGGATTATCTCCCTACACAGTTTTTAAACACAGCAGGGCAGATGGGTCCCTTCCCTGGCCTAGGGGGAGCGAGGTCCAGCCAGAGCATACCCTCACCCTCAGAAAAGCTGAGGCCAGACCAAGGTGTCTAATAGGACATCTAGAGCTGAGGCTGTAACGCCAGGACTGACACTGAGCCAGGCTGGGAATTGTCAAGAGCTTTGGTCACCAGACCTGGCTGCCCTCCAATTTCCACTGGCTCTTTCCACATGTCCCTAATATTGTCTGTTCAAGTAAAACCACCACTCTTCCCAAAGCAGGATACTTCCCAGAGCCATCAGGCCTGGTATCTCTCAGTGGGACTCAGTCCCAGAAAGAAGGTGTTAAATCACCCACTGTTTCATTTTGCAAACTTTTTACCACTTGGTAACAAGTGAAACTACATTCTGACAGCAACTGCAAGTTCCTTAGTACCCAGTGACTTCCCTTTTTTTCTTGAGACTCTCCCTCCTGTTAAATCATAGATCCATCCATCTCAAACCCCCAGAATATAGCCAGAAAGCATGACACCACATCTTAACTTGTGAGATGTGCAGAACACTTCTCCTCCTGCAAGCTTAAGTACCAAACCAAAGTTACTTTTTCCCTTCATCTTGAATGTATTAGTAGACTCTGAACTGGACTCTAACAACATGTAGGAAAGCAGTCATGGGCAGTAATTCTGGGAGACACAGACAGGACCAGCCCTCCCTACATAAGGTGGGCAAGGAAGCAGAGCTGACTCCGTTTCCCTTCTCCTTCCCCACACACTCCCATGTGTCCTGCCTCTCTTGGTCTCAGCTGGCAGTCACTTCAAATCAACAATGGTGCAATCCAGCACTAACAGATTAATTAATAAATGCTGACTGCACAGCCCTTCCTGGTGATTCATACATATTAAAACACAGGCAAGATTTAGGGGCAGGGAGCATATGGGAAATCTCTGTACCTTCCTCTTGATTTTGCTGTGAACCTAAAACTTTCCTTAAAAAGAGTCTTTAAAAAAATACAAGGGGGCTGGGCGCGGTGGCTCACGCCTGTAATCCTAGCTCTTGGGAGGCCGAGGCGGGCGGATTGCTCAAGGTCAGGAGTTCAAAACCAGCCTGAGCAAGAGCGAGACCCTGTCTCTACTATAAATAGAAAGAAATTAATTGGCCAACTGATATATATATATAAAAAAAAAATTAGCCGGGCATGGTGGCACATGCCTGTAGTCCCAGCTACTCGGGAGGCTGAGGCAGAAGGATCGCTCCAGCCCAGGAGTTTGAGGTTGCTGTGAGCTAGGCTGACGCCATGGCACTCACTCTAACCTGGGCAACAAAGCGAGACTTTGTCTCAAAAAAAAAAAAAAAAATACAAGGGATGATCCCTCCAAGTGGAAAACCCATTGAGCTGCACAGGAATGATGCTATCATGGTGGAATGGTGCATGTCGCAGGAACGCTTTGGAGCAAGAAAGAGCCCATTTCTCCCACAACATACAGGTGGCAGACAGTGTCACCAACCCCTCTTTACATATGCATTCCTACCCCCACACAATTTGTCCTTTTTTGACTGCCAGAAGCATAAGATCTGTGGTTAAGTCAGGACCCTCCTCCCTCAAGGGCCATTTTCAGGAGTTTGATTAATGACAATGACCATGCATGGGAAGGCTGTGGACTTGTGACATAAAAGTACTTAGCAGAAGGCCTTGGAAAAGGTCGAGGAACAAGACGCAAGCTGGGCTGATTATCCAAATCAAGGGGCCTGGTTTTGGGATTTTAGTGTTCTTAAAAAAGAAGAAATCTCCCTGCCTCGCCACTTTGTGCCATAAGGCGTTTTCAACAAAACCCAGACTCTGGGGCGACTTCCGGGGCCCCGCTCTTGGGGCCCCAGAACCTCGTCCACGAAAAAAAAATAAAAAAAAAAGAAAAAAAAAAAAAAACCCAGACTCTGATATCTTCAGGGGGAAAATGATTGGGAGACCACATCACTGGCACAGTGGTCTGGCTCATTCACAGTCCCTTCATAGGCAAGACAACAGGTGAACTGACAGAGCAGAGCTGGAAGAGTTCTCAAAGGCAGAGGCTCTAAGCCAAGGAGCGTTGGGATGACCTAGCATTTGTTGTGGGATTAATGTGCACTAGAGATTTTGCACACTCTATCTCAAGGAAGAAATATCATCACCCCAGTTTTAAAGGTGAATAAACAAGGGCACAGACCAGATCCTTGGTGTAACGAACAGATCCTTGATGTAACTCAGCCAGGGTCAAACAGCTAACAAGTGGCAGAGCTGGGTTTTGAACCCAAGCTACAAGACCCAAGGGTTTGTGCTCTGTCACATGCCTGTCATAGAGAACTGTGTTGATGGCACCAAACCATTGAACATTATAGTGTGTGTATATTTGTGTGTGTGTGTGTGTTGTGTACACATACATAAGCCAACCATGTAAATACAGAGATTGTTACGGCCCAACCAGTTGCATTGCCCACTGCTCAAGAGGAAGCAATACACAGAGACAGCAGGGTTTATAGTAGGGAAAGAGTTTAATATCACAGGCACCATGTGAGGAGATGGGAAGAATTTTTCAACTCCATCTCCCCAAAAATTTGGGAAAAGGGGTTTTTAAAGATAGTTTGGTAAGCAAAAGGCTAGGCGATTGGGTTTGCTAATTGACTACATTTGGAGCAGAACCAAGGAGTGTAGAAATTGTCTTCTTTGCAGCGTTTGTTCTTGGATGGGAGTCACAAGACAATTGAGTCAGTTCCTTGGTATGGGCCACCGATCAGGGTGGGTCATCTGCTCCGCTGGAATTCAGGGCTGGAAGACATCTCAAAAGCTAGTTAGGTTTCACGGAGTGATGTTATCCATGGGAAAAGTTAAGAATCTTTATGGTCATCAGCTATGTGACTCCTGAGTAGCAATTATAGGAAAGCTAACTAGGAGATAGTGGCTGGTTATTACCATCGTTTTTAGCCAAGTATCCGGGGAAATGTGGCCTTGGGGCCACATGTGGCCCTCCAGATCCCCAAGGGCAGCCCCTCGACCAAATCTAAACTTCTCAGAACAAATCCCTTTATTAAAAAGATTTATTGGCCGGGCGTGGTGGCTCACGCCTGTAATCCTAGCACTTTGGGAGGCTGAGGCGGGCAGATTGCTCAAGGTCAGGAGTTCGAAACCAGCCTGAGCGAGACCCCGTCTATACCAAAAATAGAAATAAATTAATTGACCAACTAAAATGATATCATCAAAAAAAAAATTAGCTGGCATGGTGGCGCATGCCTGTACGTCCCAGCTCCTCGGAGGCTGAGGCAGTAGGATCGCTGAGCCCGGAGACTGAGGTTGCTGTGAGCCAGGCTGGACGCCACGGCACTCACTCTAGCCTGGGCAACAAAGTGAGACTCTGTCTCAAAAAAAAAAAAAAAAGATTTATTATGTAAAATTTGGATTCAGTAAAAAGGCCACACTCAAGGATCAAGAAGGCCACATGTGGCCCCAAGGCCACAGGTTCTCCACCCCTACCAGCCCTTGCCATAGTTCTAGACTTGCACCCCCTTTATTAATTTGTAAATGGCAGTTTCAAGGTGAGTACTTGAGTAGCTGAGAAAACCTCTCCCAGACTAGAAGACCAGAGGATTTAGTTGAAAATACTGGAGATCGGTGCAATGGCTACGCCTGTATATCCTAACCCCGTGGGGAGGCCGCGACTGAGGGCAGATGGCTCAAGGTCGGAGTCTCAATCAACCAGCCTAAGCAAGAACAGACCCTGCTCTACTATATAAATAGAAAGCAATCATTGCCACAAAAATATATACGGGAAAAGAAATTAGCCAAGCATGGTTTGCACATGCCTGCTACGTCTCCCAGCTACTTGGGGAGGCTGAGGCGAAGATTGCTTGAGCCAGGAGTTTGAGGTTGCTGTGGAACCTAGCCTGAGCCTAGGCACTCACTCTAGCCTGGGGCAACAAAGCGAGACTCTGTCTCAAAAAAAAAAAAAAAAAAGGAAAGAAAAAAACAAAATACTGGGGATTGGGCATTACCTCTGGGAAAAGGAGCCAGGAAAGGAAGGAGACTTACTTTCCCCTGTATGCCCTAAGATACTGCCTATTTAAAAAACACTTTTTCTTGAAAAGATAGATCTGTATGTTGTGTTGTGTCACGAAGTTCAGGTATTTGAAATTTGCCAAGTGATATTTCCTAAAAAACAGATATTTGAGAAAAAGCAAAAATCCCACACCATGAAGGCCTGTCACACCACACAGTAGCCGGGAGACGGGGCTTCGTTCGGAGCAGGAAAGAACTCAGTTCCTGAGTGCCTAAGTTGCTTAAGACCCAAGAGCACTAAAAGTGAAACCATTCAACCATCCTCCCTCATTTTCATTTTCTTTTCTCTTCTTTTTTTTTTTTCCTTTCAAAAGAATAATTATTTCTAGAGGGGTTTTTAAAATATTGCCAGGTACCTGAGAAGGGTGTGTGTGTGTGTGTGTGTGTGTGTGTGTGTGTGTGAGTGTGTGTTTTGTTTTGGACGGTGCTAAAGCCTTTTTTGACTTTACAGGATTAAAATTAGATTTTTTTCTTTCATCAGTTTTGCTGCAGAAAACGAAAATCCTTACAACATCTAGAAGCAGCCTCATTTGCATTTTCAAACCGAAAATCCCCAGTACTCCCAGAGGACTGCCGCTTCTCTAGGCTTAGGCGATCAGTGAAGGAATGGATGACTTCACCTTCCACAAGAGGCAGGTCCTAAAAATGTTTTGCACAAGACAAAACTTGAGTAAATCATCCATATTTTAAGTGCCTTAGCAGAGGTCATTGTCTTAGCAATCTTGAAGAGATCCTCTTTCCAAAGCAAAGAAGCTGATAGTGATGTTAACACTCTGTTTTGTAAACAACTGTTTTGGTGTAGTGCCAGGGTCCCAGTTTCCATCCTGAGCCAATTCTCAGAGCCCTCTGGGTTTCTGGTAGGAGACTGGTAGGGCTGCCAGATCTAGAGGCCATTTGAGTGACACTAAGCCCCCTCCTGCAAGAGACATCATCCTCAGGGAAGAGGGCTTCCGTGCAAGCTTGACCCAATATACAAAAGGATTGGAGGGGAAGCCGATTCAGAGCTACAGCCTGGCCTGTGTTAGCCGTTTCTTTCCAGCCACCTTTGAACTCAAATCATGTCACAGGACCAAAGGGAGCTATGAACACAAGCTCTAGAAGATGCCTCAAGGCTCTCCTTTAACATCCCCATCAAAGAGGTGAGTAGTGTTTCTCCCCATTTCTGCCCTGAACTAAGCGGGGCTTCAGTAACTTGATGGCTCCAGCAGACCCAGGGCCCATCCATCCAGGTGCCCCGGGGAGCAGAACCCACCTGTTGATGGCAGTGGTGAAGGGACTCAGGTGGCAGTGGGACCAGCATGAGCCCTCTGGCACAAAGACCAAAGTCCTCACTTGGAGGACCCCCAAAGAGTGACCTCCCCTATGTGGGCAGGAGCCCCTGAGGACGAAACCAACAGATGCCCGCACTGTGGCAAAAAGGAGCCACACGATCCACCTGGAGACTCCTAGAAATAACTGCACGAGATTTGGGGTGGCCACGCAGCTCTGCAACAGCTGGTCACAGCGAAAGCCAGGAAATAAAAGCACTCCCAGGACTGGTAGTATCACCTTCTTTGTAAGCCCAGGCTGGGGGGCGGTGGTCTGAAGAAACAGGTCAGAACATTTTAGGTTTTTTACAAATACAGATTAAATGGCATGCTAAATCCTAGTCTGTTAATCTGGTAATTGAAGTTTTTTTTTGTTTTTTTTTTTTTTAAAACACAACTTTAGCTTCCTTTTTTCCCCCACCTCGTCAAACTTCATGCAAGACTTCAGCTTTACTTTCTTTGTCAAGGCATGCCAAAGTGCTGAGTCACTTAAAAGAGAGAGAGAGAAAAAAAAAAGAAAGTAAAGGAAGAGTGATACTACTACTTAGAGATAGGCCCCGTGATGACCTAAGCCGCGCTTTTTTCCCCAGTTACGATTCCTTGTGATGCTAAAGGACGTCACATTGCACAATCTTAATAAGGTTTCCAATCAGCCCCACCCGCTCTGGCCCCACCCCCCTACCCTCCAACAAAGTTTTATCAAATGTGGGATTTTCCCATGAGTCTCAAAATTAGAGTCTCAAGCCCCAATAAATATGACTGGAGATGTCTGAGGCTCATTCCACCCTTGAGCCATCCAGGAACGAAAGAGAGCTCCATCTGCCCTCCAAGAACCCAGCTATGAAATCCCTCTCCGCACGTAAGTTGAAGGAAATCCCTAACCCTGCAGGCGCTGGAGGCGGCGGCGGCGCCTGTGCGAGCGAGGGAGGGAGGGGTGAGTGGCCCGGCCAGGGCTGGCGCCCGGCCAGCAGACCGAGCTCCCAGCTGTGCGGTCCGCTCACTGGGCTCTCCCCTCCCTCCCGCACAGGCGCCTTCTCTCTGGGGCTGCTCCTGGTCGTGGCTACTGCATTCCCCACCCCAGAACCTCTGGAAGAAGCAGCCAAAGATGATGCTACCCCAGACAAGCCATCACTCACCACTCCAGAGCAAACAGAAGGACTCATGAAGCACCTCATGTCAAAGATCGACCAACTGACAGAGCAGGTGGGTAGCCTCTGCGACAGGGACAAGAAGGGGCCCGGTGTGGGCATGTGTTCTCCTTGGCCCTGCGTGTGGACAGGGCCGGCTGCACTGGGAGGGCTTTGCTGGGTGCCGGGGCACTTTAGACTTGAGGCCAAAGGGACAGACTAGATGTCTTCTGTACAACTCCTCTACTTTCTGGTCTCAGGAGTTTCCTTTCCTTTCTGGAAAATAGAGAATGGGGCTGGAATCCATGCTCCCTGGCCCATTGTCAGCTCCACATTTGGCATGAGCTCCCTTTTCCCTACCCCAAAAATAAGGTCTGTGAACCTTCCTTTTATTCCTTGGACTTTAGGAGGATTAGAAAAGTGCCACCTGAAAGGAACGTGCAGCTTCTCAGAGAAGTTGCAATACTTTCTGGTGACATATGCTCAGTGGTTAGGACTCCCAAAGTCATTCCATCTAAGGCGTATATTTTAGAGGCCACCAAAGTGGCAAAATCATACGTAGGTTAAAGCATCTCCCAACTTTAAATGCAAGATACTTTGGCTCTGTTTGGTAGAAAGAAAAGAACCCAGGAGAGGGGATTGGGAGCCGGGATTCTAGTTCTGGTTCTACCAAACCAAGTGTTGTCATCTTGGGCAAATTCCCTACCTACCACCTCTGGATCCATCTGTAAAATTGTGCGGTTGGAACTAGATGATCTCAGGTCCTTCCAGCTGGAGCATTCAGTGGCTTGAATTATATTCACCCAATCATCATCAAAATTGCTGTCCTTTATTAAGAACCCACGATGTGCAAGCCACTTTGAATAGTATGTCTAATCCTCGTAACAAACTTGCAAACTCTAGTGATCCCCAATGTGGAGATAAGGAAACTGAGAGATGAGTAACACACCTGAAGTCACAACCAGCCTGGACTTGGACCGAAGTGTGCCCCAATTCGCTGGACTTTGCTTGCCAGGATGCCACTGGGTTTTGACTTCAGTTTTCTTAGAGACTTTCCTGGCCGTGGCAGAACAGGAATTGGCCCTCTAGTGGTGTTTGTTTTAGGAGCACTTACATGATAACAATTTTGGTATTCTTTCCCAGCTGTGTGGCGACAGTTCCAAGTGTGGAGATGCCAAGGAGGCACTGACAGAAAACAACCTGAAGCTTCCACAGATAACAGAACAAGATGGATGCTTCCAGTCTGGATTCAGTGAGGTATGGACTCGGTGCTTTCACTTTTAGCTGTCATGTAGGTAAAATTCTCCCCCTTGCGTTACAGGACCTTTATACACATAGATCCAGGCAGTCAACAAAGAAGGGGATAGATGTTAAAGAACATTATGTAATTTCATGAGGATAATGCCAACTAAAGCTTTTGCGAAGGCAGTTTATCTTGGGGCAGGCTTGGCCTGGGATGGTCCCTCTGTGCTGGGATTTTCACAGCGGCTAAATGTTAGAGACTCCAGCAGGTTTAGCTAGTTCGTCCTGAGTAAGGTAGTCTGGGGGCGCCTTTCTCTTCTCTGGCTTCTCCCGGCAGGATCCAGGCCCCCCTTCCTTGCTCAGTTAATTCTCCACACCCTTCTCCTTCCACTCAGTGAGATAACCTGCCCTGACCTGATCATTCCTTAAAAGGAGGTTTCAGCCCAACACTGACAAGGGCAGGCGTGCAGGAGGAGCCGCAGAGGGAGGATCCAGGCAAGATCCCTAACTGCCACATTCGAGCACCTGTTGGGCTTTGGGTCAGATTAATTAAGTGGTGCCTTTAATTGTCCAGATATTTACCATTGTAAATATGCTTCCTGATGTCCCAAAACGTGATGCCTAGGAGGTACTTGAAGTTCTCTGGCAAAGGGAGAAGATGCTGAATGATAGCAATTTTAACGTTTAAAATTGACACCCCCCCCCCCGTCCTTCACTTAGGATTAAAATTGCTTCTATTTCCTCGTGATAACTAATTTTTCCCACCATCTTTTCCCTTAGGACAGTTGCCTGGAAACTATCACCTCTGGACTTGCAGCGTATCATGTATACATAGAGTACATTGAGGACAAGTTTGAGGGTGATTTGAACAGTGCCAGAGCTTTGGATATGGGCGTCAAATATCTGATCGATATCCTGAAGGAAAAGGTGAGTATTTCCCCTCATTCCCCCACTTGGCATGGGGAAGACAGGCACAAAGGAAGCAGCCTGCAAGGCTATGTGTAATGGAAGGCTCTGAAGAATAGTCCCCTACAGTTTAAACTTTTGTTTTTGTTTTTGGCTCTCTTCTGCAAAAGGACACTGATAACTGTATCTAAAATTGTATTCAAGGAGGTGGATTTTAACGTCAATTTCTAACAGTTTAAGAGATAAGAAGAAAAGATTTGTAGAGGCAGAAGGAAGCACATCCAAGCCCACCCAGTGATCCACAATAACAAAGAGCAGAGAGCACAAAAATAATTTTAACATTTTAATTAGTGTCAAGTGGCATTCTTTTCATTATGGTTGTTTCAACTCTTTTTCCCTACATTTTACCAGATAGTTAATTCAGAGAAGTGGCCAAAGGCTAAAGGCTGGGCCACCAGCAGCTAGCTATTCAAATGGCTGACCCTGTGGGGGCTCCGTGAGTGGGAAAGCCAAGCAGAGTAGCAAGAGAAGGGCCCTGGAATGAAACCCTGGTGCTGATCCTGCCACATCGGGTTTCTCATACTTTAATGGGCACAGGAATGCCCTGGGGATCTTGTGATGCAGAATCTGATTGGGCAGGTCTGAGGTGGGCCTTAGATCTGCATTTTTTTTTAATTTTAGCATATTATGGGGGTACAAGTGTTAAGGTTACTTATATTGCCCATGTCCCCCTCTCCCCCCTCGAGTAAGAACTTCAAGCATGTCCATCGCCCAGAGATCTGCATTTCTAATAAGCCTATATCCCTGGCCATGCCGCGGCACTCTGGGATGCAGACGGAGGTGCAAGGCCTTGCACGGTTGCTTATCCCTATTTGGGTGGGTCTGTGGAAAGGTGCTCCCCAGTTCTGTTCACACCGCCAGAGCAGTGGACTGTCAACAGATGTCGCATGGATGGTGAGAGAGAAACCGGAGGAAAGCATTACATTTAGAGGCCACTGAAGAACCCATTCAAATGCCTTTAAGCATGGGTGCCTCCTTCATCTATTAAATTCCAACTGTGTGCCAGGCACTGTTTCAGATAACAGAATAGAAGATGGATAAGATAGTGGTGTTGCCCTCAGGATGCTTGCGGTCTAATGGGAGGCAGAGCAGCAAAGGAATGATTAGAATTCGGTTGCTATGAAGGGGTCCTACTCAGGGTGGGATTTGGAGCAGAAAGCACCTCCCCCGACCTGGGCAAGCCAGGGCAGGCAGCCTCAATTGGTCTCATGCACCCGGAATTTTGAACGAACACCTTCCCACAGTCCAGAGCATCCTTCCACCGCAGAGGATTTGTTCAGTGTTTAAAGGATCCTTTTTGTTTTCTTTTCCCTTCAGATAAAGAATGCGGAGGCGGTCACCACCCCTAGCCCAACGGCAAACGCCAAACTGATAGAGGATCTGGAGTCCCAGGATGAGTGGGTGCAGCACACTGCGATTAACATCATCCTGCGCAGCCTTAAGGAATACCTGCAGTTCAGCTTGAGGGCTATTCGCAGCCACAGGGCGGACAACTAAACTAAGATTGTTGTAGTTCACGGGCATTCCTTCCCCTGGCCCCAAACCACTTCCACTGTGCACATCACTTAGGTTGTTCTCTGTGAAGAACCTAAAGTCTAAGTGTTAGGACACTATTTTAATTATTTTTAATTTATTGATATTTAAATATGTGAAGTCAAGTTAATTTATCTAAGTGATATTTATATTTTTATGAAGTGCCACTTGAAGTGTTTTATGTATTCGTTCTGAGATAATATAAAGTGGCTATGCAGTTTGAATATCCTCTGTTTCAGAGCCAGATCATCTCTTAGAATGCATAGGCTTACCTCAGATAAATTGCTAACTTATACATATTTTTAAAAGAGATATTTATATTGTATTTATATAATGATGTTTGAATGATTTTGATACCATTAAATCATAGTTTTTGAATCAGCAATTAAGACTTTGTGAATTGTGTGAAGCTTACTGTAAACAAGTTTCTTGTCATCGCCACCACCACCACCCCCAAAAAGCTATACTCAGTCACCTGGAGAAAGCCATGATGGAGCGCCCACCACACGCCGGGCACCACGCTAAGTGTGTGACATCCATCATGTCCTTTAATCACAGCACTCACAAGCTCCTTTCTAGATGTGGGGCAGTAAGATCTACCTGCCTCCAGACCCCCTACTCTTAACCTTCAGGTCCCACTGCCTCCCAGGGAACTGAGAGAGATGCTGACAACCCCAAAACATGTTAAAATAGGGAATATGTTTAAAGATGCAATCAAAGACTTTGGGATCATACAACCACTTTGATTATAAGACACCAGCGATTTTCAAGCTTCCAAATAGTAACCAGAAGGTCTGGCTCCCTCCTTTGAGTTCCTCAAACATTGTACATATCTACCTGTCACAGCACCTACCACATTATATCACGCCTTAAATAAAATTGATGGATTTTTCTTTCCAGCCAATGTGTGGGTTCCTTAAGAAAGCAGACACTAGTGTGTTCGTCTTTGCATCTTAGACTCATGGCCCAGAACCCGAACAAAGGAGCCCCCAATAAACATTCGTTGAATGAATAAAGTATACATAGATGATCAAATATAAGAAGACACCAAGGTGGGGCCAGCGACTGGGGAGGGTCCAGCTGGGTTCTCCTGGGCCACCATTCCCGGACATTTTGGATGCCTAATATGCATCTTAACTTTAATTTGTCCCAAGGAGCTCGAGGTCTTCCCCACCTCGCCGGCTTCCACTCTCCTCACCCCCTGGCAGTCCTCCCCAGCTCAGGTAAAGACCAGCCGGCCTCCCAGCTGCTCAGGCCCAAAACTTTGGAGTCATTCTGGACCTTTCTCTTTCTCTCAAACCCTACATCCAAGCTTTGGCAACTGCTGTGGGTTCTCCCTTCCAAATCTGATGCCCACCATCTCCACTGCCACCACCCTCGGCTGAGCCTCCTTTCTGAGGAGCGGAAAGAAGGTGGAGTGGACTGCTTCGCTGGGGTCCCACCTCGCCCGCTGGCACCTTCCCCCCAACCCGACAGCCTCCCAGCAGGTCTCCCCTCTCCCCACTGTCCTCTCCGCAGCCAGAGCAACCCTGTGAACAAGAGTCAGAGCGGGAACCTCCTCTGCTCAGAACGCTCCAGTGGCCCCCAGTTCACTTGGGGTAAAAATCGAAAACCCCATAGTGGCTTGCAAGGCCCCAAATGATCTGGTCCCTTCCCTCTTACCTCCCTAACTCCAGCTCCAATTACTCGCCTTTCTGGCGCCGGGCTGACCTCCTAGCTGTTCCTCAAGCATGCCAGCCATGCCCTTGCCTCAAAGCCATTGCTTTTGCCATTCTCTCTGCCTGGAACCCTGTTCTCCCAGGTAGCTTCCTGGCTCCCTCCTCACCTCCTCCAAGTCTTTGTTCACGGTTCACCTTCCCTGACTACCCTATTCAATATAAAAATAAAAAATAAATTAATTAATTAAAATTAAAAAAAAGAAGACACCGCAATTCTTAGGGGTATATAGTGTTAGGGGAAATTGCTAATTCTGTGCACTTAGGTAGCTTCATCTTAAGGAAAAATAGCAAGAATTAGAAAGAAACTAGATTCTAAAAACTTCTAGAGAAGGCAATAAATAGTCAGGACATTAATGCCTCTACTTCCTTTCCCTCTGGCAATGATCTTCATCTGCCCTCTCAACTAGCCCATCGAGAATGGAGGTGAGAAGCAATCTGGACAACTTAACATGGCCCCTCTAGGTCATCTCAACACAGCACTGGGAATTTGGCACAGATTTCCCCTTTCCAACCCCGGCAATATGAAAGTTCTGTCTTCTAACAAAGCTTTTCTCCCACCCTAACCACCAGAGACTTCTTCCTCCAAGGGAGGAGTTCTGCTGGGCAAGGGAAAATCCACAGAGGCCCAGAACTGAGAGGAGCTAAGCAAGAAAAGAGCCACACACTCTGATTTCTAGAAACCATGCATCACAAGTGAGCTTCCCAAAATTAGGGTCAAATCAAAGGATAAACAGAAATAGCAGTTGACCAAGTCTTCCATTCCTCAAACAAAAATGTGTTGGGCACCGTTTATAAGTCAGGGAATGCTTGTGATGAAGAAGTGAACAGACAGACATGAGCCCAGCCCTCATGCAGTGTACACTGTGGCAGGGAAAACAGACATTGAACAAAGAATGTGAGTATGATGAGGTTTGCAGAAAACAAATATGGGGAGGACTGAGAAGCCATACTGGGGTCACTAATAGCAGGGGTACCTAAGTAAGCCTGGGGAGGGCAGCCATGGAGGCTTCCTTGAGGAAGAAAGAGGTTTTGGCTGAGATAAGAAAGATGTGTAAGAGTTAGCCAGGCCAAGATGAGCAGGAAGAGCATTCCAGACAGAGGGAACGGAATGTGCAAAGGTCTGAATCAACAAAAAGTATGGTTAAGACATTGAAAACTGGCCAGGCACGGTGGCTCACACCTGTAATCCTAGCACTCTGATAGGCCGAGGTGGGAGGATAGCTCAAGGTCAAGAGTTCAAAACCAGTCTGAGCAAGAGTGTGACGCCGTCTCTACTATAAATAGAAAAAAATTAATTGGCCAACTAAAAATATATACCAAAAATTAGCCCGGCATGGTGGCGCATGCCTGTAGTCCCAGCTACTCTGGAGGCTGAGGCAGGAGGAGCACCTGAACCCAGGAGTTTGAGGTTGCTGTGAGCTAGGCTGATGCCACGGCACTCTAGCCTGGGCAACAGAGTGAGACTCTGTCTCAAAAAAAAAAAAAAAAGACATTGAAAACTACATTATTTCCAATTTATAAAGAGAGAGAAGGAGGGTAGTTGAAATGGGGTAGAGAGGAAGGCTGGGATCAGATCATCAACAGTATCAGAAGCCATATTCAAAATTTTCGAATTTATCCCCCATGTGGTGAGAAGACACTGACAGATTGTAAGTAGCAGAATGGCATGGGAGATATACATTTGAATAAGATCACTCAAGCTGCAGTGTGGAGAACAAATGGGAAAGGAGCTGGAAGAGGATGGTGGAGTAACCTCATCCTAATCCTCAGTGACTGTGACCTTATGTGGAAATTGAATCTTTGCAGATGTAATCAAGATAAGATGAGGTCATCAGGGTGGACACACAGGAACAAGTTCAAAGGAAGACAGATATTGGAGAGATGCATCTATCAGCCAAGGAATACCAAAGACTGCTGACAACCACCAGAGGTAAGAAGAGGCAAGGAAGGACCCTCCCCTACAGGTTTCAGAGGGAACATGGCTTTGCTGACACCTTGACTTCAGACCTCCAGCCTCCAGAACTGTAAGAGAATAAACTCCTGGGGTTTTTTGTTTTTGTTTTTTTGTTTTTGTTTTTCTTTTTTTTTTTTTTTGAGACAGAGTCTCACTCTGTTGCCCAGGCTAGAGTGCCGTGGCATCAGCCTAGCTAACAGCAACCTCAAACTCCTGGACTCAAGTGATCCTTCTGCCTCAGCCTCCCGAGTAGCTAGGACTACAGGCATGTGCCACCATTCCCTGCTAATTTTTTCTATATATATCAGTTGGCCAATTAATTTCTTTCTATTTATAGTAGAGGCGGGGTCTCGCTCTTGCTCAGGTTGGTTTCGAACTCCTGAGCTCAAACGATCCACCTACCCTGGTCTCCCAGAGAACTAGGATTACAGCCTTTCTTTGTCTTTAGTCTTCATGTGGGGAAGAAAATCTAGATCCTGCATCTGTCCTTGTTCAACACCCAGGTGGGAGGGACCTCCAGTTACTTCCAGGAGGGATGGGAGTTCAGGCTTCCTACTGGGCCTCCATGGATAGACACCACCTGGCTGGAGAGAAGTGCTCCCTGCTCCCTGGGTAGTCAAAAAATTTTGTCTTTAGTCTTCAGGTGGGGAAGCAAATCTAGATTCTCCATTTGTCCTGGGTCAGCACCCAGGTGGGAGGGGCCTCTAGTCACTACCAGGCAGGGATGGGACTTCGGGCTCCCTACTGGGACTCCATGGACACTACCCTCGCTGGAGAGGGGTGCCTGCTCCCCATGTGGACTCCACTGACATCCTACTAGGGAGGGGAAGGGCCACCTCCTTAAGGACAGTGGGGAGTGGATGTCCAGGCTTTCCACATGGTCGCTATAGCAGCAAGGGGACACACAAGGAGGGGATTCATTACCACCCGGCTGGGATAGAAGTCCCAGCTCCCCACTCAGCCTTCTGTGACATCACCCCAGTGGGGTGTTGGGGTGCCTCCTTACGCCTCACAAGGGTGTAAGTCGAGGCTCCTCACCGGCCTCAGCTGGAACGGGAAGTAGCGGGACCATAGTTTTTTCTGTGATATTTGGCTAGAGTCTGGTGGTTATTATCTGAAAGCTTTCTGTTTTGCCAGGCTGTCCCTACCCTAGTCCTAAAGAGATCAGGCTTTTCTTGGGACTTTTTCTGTTTGTGGCCATTGGTGTTTCTCGATTCTCCAGAAACGATCTGGATACTTTCTCCTCCAGTATCGAGTCTGAATACATGAGGCAAAAATCAAAGCCAGGGAACTCACCACCAAGTCATTCCTCGGGTCCTGAGGTCTCTAGCTGGTCTGCCTCTGCTCTTCGCTTTCCAGAGTCTTCTTAGGTTTGTTTGATCTATTATGTCCAGAGTTATAGTTGTACCTAGTGGGAGGAATAGGGAAAAGTATGAGTATTCCATCTACCTGGAAGAAGAATACGTGCTTCCTTTTAAGACAATGTGTCCTAAATCAGGTACTACCAATTCTTAACCCCAAATCAGATTTACAAGGCCACATCTTCATCACACAGAGTCCGTGCCAGTGAGCCATCTCTCACTGCCACCAGCTTTCCTTTTCCCTGTAGGACATATGCAAATAATATTCAGAAAGTAAAAACAGAACACCAGACTAAAATTAAGAACCCAGAGTACACAATAGATGCTAATCATACATTCCAAGTTCCAGTGTCCTTTTTTGTAGGTAATATTCTTATATGTTCTTTTTTTCACTTCTAGTCCTTCCTTTTTGCCCATGATCCTCTCCCCATTCAAACTAAACTTTAAGGTACCTGCTCCCTCCAGGGAGGGGTGCTTCTGCAGAAAAGCAGATTTTTTTTTTCAGTTGTAACAACATGATCTTTTGAGTATATGGCAAAAAGTATATGTCATCGAGCAGATTGGACAGAGTGCATAATTATATAAAATTCAATTTTTCCTATCCTAAAGGAAATACAGATTTTCTTGGCTATGGAAGATAGGGAGTCATAGAGGGAAGAACAAGAGTTACTTGTTGATAAATATCTCTGAGAATAGCATCGAAATGTTTTGTGTGCCTTTGAAGGATCCAAGTAACAGCCTGGAGAGGCCTTAGGATGGGACAAGGCAGACACGACAGATAGCTGTGCCGTGTCTGATGAATGGAAGCCCAATTTAGATGACAACCACTGAGGACAGGTGGCTTGTTCCCACCCCCATCCCTACCCGCCTCCCCACCCCCGGGAAGTCTTAGCAGTCTCAGGACCAGCTTTCAGTCCTAAAGGTGTGAGGGCCACAGGGACAGCAAGAGCCTGAATTGACAGAGGAAACTCTGATTTGGCTGAGGTTAAACTTCTATGAAATAGAGGCTTGATATAAAAATTATATTCTATTTTAAAAATATATACATATCTTACATACCTACGTTGAAAGCCTAAGATTTGTGCCTACTACAGAAATAATAACTAACAAAGAAAGGTTGGAAAGTGACCAGAAATATTCAAATAAGAGACCTTGGTTTTCCAATAGAGTTGGTAGAGTAAGTATATATTAATATTGAGAAATGAATTAATTAAACTTTTCTTTAGCACATCCGCAAACATTTAAAATGTTAATGAGGCTCTCTTCCAGGCAGTAATAATCAACTATGAAATGTCATAAAGAATAAGAGCTATAATTGGGAGTTCTGTATGGAACGGACGATTCAGGTTTTAGAAGTCTCTACCCTTTGAACAAGAGCCACAAAGGAAAAATTAAAATTGAGAGTTTCATGGAAAGAGTCAATTATTCTATTTAGAAAAAAAAAAAGCAGTAATAACTGTCAAGGGCCAAACACATGATTCATTTATGTGCTTAAAGGTGTGAGTTCAGCTTAATGACATACTGGTTGGGCCACTGCAGATAGGGTGGCTGCAGGAATTTTTACATCTCTGCGCAGTACAACAGGTCCAGAAACGGTGCTATGAGTTTGCACCTTCACTCTGTATGTGAAATGCCACATCACGGTCAAATACTAGCTTTCCTTCCCTTCTTTCCCAGCCAGCGTTTCCCAGAGTGGGTTCCGAAGAACAGTGCCCAGGAATCTGCTTCTTCACGGGTCCCCAGGGGATTTCGATGATTCAGAAGGTAGAGATCAAGGGAGTACTCAATTAAATTAGGTCAACAGCCGCAGCCTCTGCTGTTTCTGGAAATGCTCCCTCCACCTCTCTCCGGCTGTAGCTCCTCGCAGCTTCTTTTCCTCACAAGTCTCCAAGAACCGACGCCTCTCTGGGGCCAGAGAAACCTGTACAATCCCAGCTACCTTTGAGTTCAGCTTCCTCAAAGACAACTCTTCTTGGGGGGAGGGGGGCTTCTGGCTAAAGATGGTGGAGGCAGGATAGTTTACGTCACTGCCCTCTCTCAGAATTTCCTGAAAATAATAAGGATGAAATTTGGGGGTGGGGAAGGCAACAGCAGCATCAGTGAAACAGGGAAACGGTCGCAGCTGCAGTGCAGTCCAGAAGCTCACCGCCCCCACTCTGGGGGTCTGCAGGGAGATTGGGGGGTTGGGGGACAAGCCACTGCACAGTGCCACAATTGTCAGCATCTGCAGGGCCCTCCAGGGGACCTGCAGAGCAACAAGTCCTGAGGGCGGGGATGGCCCACAGAATGAAGTGTAGTCTCTGTTCAGACATGACACATGCTTCTTTAATGAAAGCCAATTCAAACACAATTGGCAATTCGATGATATCAGTATAATGAGGAAATCGTGTAGGTTCATACGTGGAAATTATGTGAGTTTATATTTGACCTTTCATGTTTGACTAGTCATTTTGAAGCTACCAGGGGCAAGGTTTCTCACAATTAAAGAGAAAGTCTTAAAAATACATAAATCTTAAATTTAAGAAAAGGCTAAAAATCCTTTGCCAGAAGTATTGCCTGGTTTAGCGACTCCAAGAACCTGTATGTTTTCTACTACATTAACCATTTCAGGAAACTGAGAGTACAGATAAACATTTCCCTCTATTAAGAAAAATAAATAAATCAATGAAGAGACACGCCTGGATAAGATCAGATTTTTCATTTTGATATGAAACTGTTAAAAGCAAATGCTTTCAAGGACCTACATACATCTCAGCTTAAGCCTGCTAAGGATCATCTACTGAATGATGTTTGATACAAATATGTGTGGAGACTTAACTGTGCTATTGGGTTTTGTTTGTTTGTTTTAAATAGACTTTTATTTTTTAGAGAAATTTAGGCTCATAGAAAAATTGAGCAGAAGATACAGAGATATCCCATATATCCTCTGCCCCATATACATGTAAACTCCTCTATTATCTATTAATACATCCCACACTAGACAGTACATTTGTTACAATCAATGAACCTACATTGATACATCATTATTACCCAAAGTCCATAATTTTCATTAGGGTTCACACTTGGAATTATAAATTCTAAGGGTTTGGACAAATGTATAATGACATATATCCACTCTTATAATATCATACACAGAGTAGTTTCACTGCCCTAGAAATGTTCCATGATTTGCCTATCCTTTCCTCTCCCCACCCCTTGTCAACCACAGATCTTTTTACTGTCTCCATAGTTTTGCCCTTCCCAGGATATCATATAATTGAAATTGTACAATATGGTTTCAGATTGGCTTCTTTTACTTAATAATATGCATTTAAGTTCCTTTTATATCTTTTCATGGCTTGATAGCTCATTTCTTTTTAAGACTGAATAATATTGCCTTGTCTGGATATATCACACTTTATTTATACATTCACTACTGAAGGACATCTTGGTTGCTTTCAAGTTTTGGTGATTATGAATGAAACTGATACAAACATTCATGGGTAGGTTTTTGTATAGACATAAGTTTTCAACTCCTTTGGGTAAATACCAAGGAGCATGATTGCTGGGTCATATGGTAAGGGTATGTTTAGTTTTGCAAGAAATCACCAAACTGTCCTCCAAAGTGGCACTATGCACCATTCTGTATTCCTGCCGGCAATTAATGAGAGTTCCTGTTTTTCCACATCCTTGCCAACATATGGTACTGTCAGTGTTCTGGATTTTGGCTATTCCAACAGGTGTGTAGTAGTAACTTATTATTGTTTTAATTTGCATTTCTTTGATGACATATAATGTGGAACACCTTTTCATATGCTTATTTGCCCTCTGTATATCTTCTTTGGTGAAATATCCGTTAAGGTTTTTGAATCATTGTTTAATTGTTTATTTTCTTATTGTTGAGTTTTAAGAGTTCTTTGTATATTTTGGATAACACTCGTTTATCAGATATGTCTTTTTGCAAATATTTTCTCCCAATCTGTGGCTTGTCTTTTCATTCTCTTGACATTATCTTTCACACAGCAGAAATTTTTAATTTTAATGAAATCCAGCTTATCAGTGCTTTCTTTCATGGATTGCACATTTGATGTTCTATCTAAAAAATCATCACCAAACCCAAGGTCAACTATATTCAAAAATATTAATATCAAACAACCCCAAAAATATATTAGTATCCTCAGAGAGATAAGAGAAGACATTGCATACATAAAGCAAGAAAAAAGAAGAGAACATTTCAAGAATAAAAAGGAAGTTAAACATCGAAAAATGTAAAAGGTAACCAGTCTACGAGATGCAACACCCAAAACTAACAAGAGTTACAGAAAGAGAGAAAAGAGAAAATGAGGAATAGATATCAACAAAATAATTCAAGAAAAGAAAGTTTTCCAGAATAGAAATACACAGTTTCCAGATTGAAAGAGCCACTGAATGTACAACACAACTAATAAAAAGGCTGCCCACATCAAGGCATATTCTTGTGAAATTTCAGAACTCTGGGAACAGATTCTGTATGCTTCAGAAAGGAAAAAACAAACAGGTCACACACACAAAAAAACTAGGAATCGGGGCTTTAGACTTTTCAACTACACCACAAGCAAGAATACTGAAAGAACAAGAAGCAATGGAGCAGACAGTGATTTCTTGAATATGACACCAAAGGCATAGGCAGCAAAATAATAGACAAAGTGGACTTCATGAAAATTTAAAATTTTGTGCATAAACAGACACTATCAATAAAATGTAAAATGGCAACCCATAGAATGGGAGAAAATGTTTTCAAATCATACATCTGATAAGAGATTAATATGCAGAATACATAGAGAACTCTTAAAACTCAATACAAAAAAAATCTGATTGAAAAATGGACAAAGGATTTGAATAAACTTTCTATAGAAAGTATACAAAAGGCCAGTAGGCACAGTGATGTTGAAAAGATGTTCAACATCACTAATCATCAGGGAAATTCAAACAAAAACTACAAGGAGATATCATTTCACACCCATTAGGATGGCCACTGTCAAAAAAAAAAAATACTCAGAAAATAACAAGTGTTGGCAAACATAGAGAGATTGAAACCCTTGTGCAGTGTTGGCGGGAATGTAAAATGGTACAGACGCAGTGGAATTACAGTATAGTAGTTCCTCAAGAAATTAAAAATAGTATTACCATATGATCCAGCAATTTCACTTCTCAGGATACAGTCAAAAGAATTGACTGTATCAAAGGATTATCAAAATGACGAGAGACAACAAATGTTGGCAAAGGTGTGGAGAAAAGGGAACTCTAGTACATTGGTGGAAATGTAGAGTGGTGCAGCCATTATGGAAAACAGTAAGAAGATTCCTAAGAAAATTAAAAACAGAACTGCCATATGACCCAGCAATGTCTCTTCTGAGTATGTAGCCAAAGGAGATGTGAAGTCATCACCTCATAAAGATATCCACGCTCCCATGTTTACTGCGACATTATTCATAATAGCCAAGAGAAGGAATCAGCCTAAGTGTACATCAATGGATGAATGGATAAAGAAAATTATGGATGTGAGTTTTT